TGGTCCCCAATGTGGTGTCCCCAATGTGGTGCCCGCTGGGGCATTTATGTGTGCCTGCCGAGTGACCAGGGCCGGCTTAAGCCATTCTTGGGTCCCCGGCGCGTGCGTGGCCCCTGCCCCGGGTGCCCGGCATGTGCGTGGCCCGGCGCCTGGCAGCCCCCGAAGGTTGGGGACCACTGCTGCTACTGTAGCCATGTGCCAGTAATAGACTTGTGGTGATTTTCAGAGCTGCTCAGGTGTATGTTGTATGACAAAACAGTGTGTAACTTGTATAATTTGGAACAAATAGTTTGCTCCTGTACTAGCATTGGGAGGGAATGCCCTATTTTTGCACTGTGTCCTTTTTCAGTTTGCTCTTTATAATACAGGCAAGTTATAAACCATTACTCCAAAGCTTGATAGTTTAATCTTTTCGTAAATTGCTGTTTCAGGAAATAGCTTGGTTCCAGTGTGGCATACCGGAATACTTGAATGACAAATACAGAGAAAGTAATGTGCAGAAAACATTATGCAGATTTCCTATCTTTGTTCCACCTTTTTTAAAATTAAAAGCCTGGATAATTCCCTAGACTCTGTGCTCTCCTTTATGGGACCAGAGGCTTCCAGCGTATTGTTCTGTGGGGGGTTCAGCTGCCTTCACAGTGATCTTTTGCCATGCTTTCTGCATGTGTGGCAGCCTCTCAAGTTTGAAATCTTACTACCCCAATGAGATGGTGTGTCAGGGGAAGGTCTGAGGGACTTGTAAGTCCCCTTCTCCATATCTCTCGCGTGTGAGGTGGAGCTGATCTAGGGTGAAGCGCTTGAGTATTCTTGTTTGTTGGAGTCTAGTGCACAGTTACCTTTTTGCTAGATTTGTCATATAAGATTCAGAAAAATTACTTAAGCTTAGATTTTTGAGAGGGGTGCTTTTTGAGTGAATTGAAAGCTCAAGTCCCATTGAAAGACAGTGGGACTTCTGTGCTATGCTCATGAGGCACTTTATAAAATTCCACTTTACTAGTTTTTTCTGTTAAAAAAGAAACAAAAGCTACCACCTCCTCCCCCCAAAAAACCAAAACCCCCCAAACAAATTATAAAACTCCCAACCTTCACCTGACACTCCTCTATTCCTTTTTTGCAGACTACCAAAAAGGTTTGTTTCTAAAACTTACATATAAAAATGCAAAAATTACCTTCATGTGTATCATCCACACCAAATATGAACTTTGGTTCTGAAATGTGGCCTTGCGATCACAAAGATAATAGCCATGTGCATGACCTCTTATTCCCAGGCATTGTGTCACATACTGGGTTTGATTCAGAGATGAAATGAGAGGTCCCTGAAATTAAGTAAATTGTAATCTCATGCCTTTCTATTCTTTTGTTTCAGCTTACTATATAGCTCATCCCCCATTCAGTAAAGAAATATAGAGACCCAGATTCTCAACTGGAGTAACTAATTTATGTCAGTTTATACCATTTTAGTATCTGGCCTGTAATCCGTGTATACGTTTTCCTATTTTATGTTCTGAATCCAGAAAGGAACCATTATGGTAATCTCATCTCATCTGGCCATTTGGATACCGAACATATAGTTTTCCTGAAGTGATTCCTGCTTCAGTTCCACAGTTTGTTGGTGAATTATAACCAGGCTTTTAGACCTCCAGTAGTGATGTAAAGACTTTAGTTAATGTAGAATCCACCACAGACTTCGCTGAATTGACTTAATGCTCAGTTATCCCGACAAGTTTTTGTCTTGTTTCCAGTCAAACGTTTTAGCTTGTAGCTGATGGCGCTCTGTATGCTGCTGTTATGTGTAGTATTATGTTTATGTATAGTAGAGCAAGGATACGCATCATATATTGCAGATGTTTCCTAATTACTACTCAAGTGCTCATCAAAACAATTCTATCACTATTTCAAGGTCAGGTGGCTCTACTATTTTGAACTTCATGACAACTCTCACACACTACTGGTTAATTTACGTTTACCAATGTATGCTTTTATATCTGTCTATTGATTTGCAAAATAAAAACTTGATTTCAAGTGAGATCGCTTAGCTGCCTCTTCAGCCCATATCTTATTGCAAGGCAGTTAGTTTTTCTTTCTGTTTCAGAGCAAACATCATCCTTTAGCTCTCTGTGACCCATGCAATAGCAATGGTGTGGGAGTTGTAGTTGTGGTTGGATGATTCATTGATGGTACAGTAATTCCTCATTTAACATGTGTCCGCTTAACACGTTTTCACGATAGTACGATTTTTTTTTTTAGGGAACGTTTTTTGAATTATACGACTGTCCCTGGAATAACACGATTTCCCCAGCCAGCCCGTTGCCAGCGGCTGTGCGGGGCTTTGCCCGCCTCCCTGCAAAGCGGCAGAGGGTTCGCCGCTCGCTGTGCTGTTCCCTGCTGACTCCCCCTTGCCGGACACCTTGCCCCCTCTACTCCGCCCCCACTTGCAGGCTGGTGGCTGGGTTTCCTCAGCCGGCCCATTGCCGGCCACTGCATGGGGCTTCCCCCGCCTCCCTGCAAAGCAGCGGAGGGTTCGCCGCTTGTTGCGCCGTTCCCCGGCGACCTCCCCTCACCGGATGCAGTGCGGGTCTCGGCAGACCCGTCATAGGGGCATGCTCCCAACCCAATCCTCTTCCCCTCCCCTCTCCTCCCCTCCCCTCCTATCCCATCCCCTTCCCTTCCACAGAGCCAAACACCTCCCCTCCTTGCTGTAATCGAGTCCCCTTTGTCCCCCATCCTTATGTCCTGGTCCCAACAGACAACACTGCTTGATACGCAACCCCCACCTTTTCCATTATTTGCATTGGGAAAATTGACCCCACAAAACACGTTTTCACTTTACATGATCACTTTCTAAAACACATCTATAGTGTTAAATGAGGAATTACTGTAATGTGTGAATGTTGTCTACACCACAACTTCCACCATTGCTATCACTGTTGTAACTACTCTGGTGATGAGATATGGCTACTTAGGCCATGCCCTCATCTAACATACTTATGTGAAACTGGACAATAACAAGAATAAATGCTCAGTTTGAAATATAGTGATGTTTAAATGGATGGGGGAGGGGAGTTAAAAGCAGCTTTAGGTGCTCACTTTGCTCCTAAGTCCCTAGAAAATATTAGGGAATTTAGAGTTAGTTTCCTATTTTTTTTAAATAAAATGCTTATTTTCCTTTCCTTGCATGAGAGATCAACACAAACAAGGGAAACAGAATTGAGGGAGAACTGGAAACTGATTATGCACAGAGAATTGTCAAATGCACAAGATAAACCAACTAGAACAAAGAGATATTTATTGTCTGATTATTCCTTAAATCTACTTTTATTACAAGTCTTTTTTGTTAACTGTTTCTTTTAAACTTTTACTCAAATAAGTAAAATGATGTTTGAACCAAAAAAACAAAATTTACTCATCAAATTACAAGACAATACAAAATAAAGATTATTTTGGCTTCTGAGTACACAGTTTTGAGTAGCTGCTTAAGAACATTATTTAGCTAACAAGAATGTGGCTTTAGTAGGGTGTGACGAATGCGCTTTACAAGTTTCCAAAATAAATAATCAGTACAAAGTGAACAGCTGCGGTGCTTTTATAATGAGTTTTTAGGACTTCTGAAAATATTTGTTATAACCACTCTGAAAAATGAAGTAAACTATTGAACAGGCAGAGTACAATGATTGCCAAGGCTAGCTTTCCTCTTTATCCTTCCAATCCTAGACCTGGAAAGACTACCTCCAACTCTAGGAAAGGTAGTTGGGCTCTATTGGCCATTTTGTGTTGTGGATGCTGGTGGTTCTTGTAAGTTTGGTCTCCCGTGAAATGACTGATGCCATGAGCAGTGCTGACACCTCCAACTCATTTCACCTTCAAGGCTGTCTAGCAGCTGTTAAAGGCAAGCAACTCTTGAACATTACCAGCCTATTTCATGTGCAGGTAAGGGACCTAGAGTCCAAAGGCTTTGTCTCCACCTGTGGACAGTGCCAGATTCACTCTAGCAGAAGAGGTAACATTGCTACTAGACCAACTTATTTGCTAGGGTGACTTGCCAAAAATGAATTCAAGATGCTTTGCAGGAGTATATAAGGCCATCTCTGTCTTACACATCTGTTCCCTTTTTCCTCTTCATATGGGGCTTTTAAACATACAGAGATTCTGATAAGTGCACCTTATGTGGCTGATTGTTTATTTCAAGTACTTCTCTGTTTTTAAGAAATGAGCTCACAGCCAGAGGGGACTGAGTATGTCACACATGCATGTAATTACAAAGAAATCCAGCTTTTCAGATCTGTTTTATCGGCAGGTTGTCCAGTGGGAAGTTGTATTTTAGCAGCATTTTGGAGAGTGGATTTTTTTTTTTAAATTTCCAGATGGTGAAAAGTGTGATACAATTCAGTGCAGAAACTGTTAAAGTAACAGTGAAATTGTGTGGTTGTGGTAAGTCAGGAAAAGGCAAAAGTGAAGCCTCCTGCAATGCTATTAATTTGGCATTGTTGGTGCAGGAGTATCATTTTGTTTTCTGATTTTTCTTTTTAAATGTTTCTCTTTTCATTTTGTTATTTCTCCTTGGGTTTTATTAGCATAAATTTGTGCAGTATGAACAAGTTACAGCTTCCGTATGACCAGCAAGCAAATGGTCAGTAGCACTTTATAGACTAACAAAACATGTAGATGGTATCATGAGCTTTCGTGGGCACAGCCCAGTTCTTCAGATAACCAGAGTTATGATTAGAGGGTAAGGAGACTTGAAATAAATAGGAGAAGGGAGGGGAAGTCAGGAAAGATTTTCTGTCTCTCTTCTCCCCCCCCCCCCCCCCCCTCCACAAAAAAAGGAGAAAGGGTGCTAAACCTGAGTAGATAGAGATCAAAGTCACTGAATGGATAAGGCAGGAAGAATACCATTCAGAAAGTAGTTAGGACCTTCATTGATAAAGGTTCCACCACCCCATATCTTGATTAAGTCCATAATTAATTGAATTGAATTTGCATATGTATTGTGATTCCAGGCTTTCCCTGTGGATTTGGCTTGAGGAACTGGCCTGTGACAAGACCACCACCTTCGGATCTGTGAGATGACGGTTAGGTAGTCTTAATGGGTTTTGAGTATTTATGTATTCTTTTTTTTTTTTTTTTTTTTTGGGTGGGGGGGGGAGGAAGAGAAAGAGACTGTACTTAATGATACTATCAGTCAATTTTTTCACCTAGGCTCTGGAGTTCATGTATCAATAAGGAGACTTGGGTGCAGGAGAGAAATGTCTTAGACTTCTGTTGCTGCTGTCATCTGGCTGTAAACACAGTTATTTCAAGGGTAAGATGCAGATTAAGACAGCAGTGTGTGGGTTTTCCCCTGTGATATATCAGCTCTGTCTTTCCAGTGGAAATAGAAGCTTGTATAAGCAAGCTTGGAACAAAACTAAGAACATCGTCTCTTTCAGCACTGTTTCCCTCTCCTTTCCTCCCCTCTCCATTTAGTGAAGGCAAGGCAGGGTTTTATTTTTCCTTTGTAAAATTGTGCAGTGTACTTAATGATACTGTGGAAGAAAACATTGTCCTCACTCTGAGTTTATAAGCAACAAGTAGCCAGAGGCAGTTTTATTATGAGCTGCAGCAAGGGAAAAACTGGTTCGGACAGGGGGGAAGTCCCCCCCCCCGAGGCAGATCTTCGAATACAAGCAATTATGAAGCAGTTTATATACTATTAGATATAATAACAATAATAATTAGTCTCCTTCCCATTACAAACACCAATGGCTAACAGTTATTTAGTTCCACCCAGGGCGCAGCTAATGCCTCCCCC